TTTGTTTCCTATGTTGGGATTCCATCATGTTCCTCAGATCCTCTATTTTTTTTATCTGTGTCCTCTCCAGATTTATTAATCATGTCTTGCACTATGAGCACAATCTTTGCTGTTATCTGAGTAATTATTTCAGATTCATTTTTCCCAGATCCTCTTTTGTTGCCAGTTCAGAGAGTCCAGGTAGTTGAGTATCAGAGTGTTCCATCTCGTTTCCCTTTGAGGTTGCTGTAGGTGATCTGGAAGTCTGTTTTTGAGGCTTATTTAAGTGTCTTCTCATTTCCACGGGGGGTGGGTGCTTCTGGTTCCCATGCGGCTCATCTTCTCTGCCCTAGGAGCATGGAATGGTGGTGGGGGAGCTTCCTTCCGGGTGCCCCAATTAATATGTAGTTTGTAGACATTTCAGTCTATATTCCACTGGCTCCAAGGTCTTACGGCAACACAAAGGAGAAGGTGATATGTAATGGTGGTGGGGAGGCAGCACACACATGCTTTACTTATTTTTTGTCAAGCCATTTCAGATTAGCTGAGACACCAAGACAAGGATCACAGTTTTGACCCCTAGGTGCTTTTGAGTTTATCTTTAAGCTTCTCTGCTCAGGCATTTGTTTGCACATGATAGCCTACCAGCAGGCTTTAAATTTTTTTGCTTTAGGACAGTGTACTTTCAGATAGCATCAAGCCTGCCACACAGCCTCAGACCAGTTTTTTTAGTGCTTCTTTCTTTCCCATTCCCCAATGTCATGAGGTAGCTGGTACTCTGCCTAGTGTAATGCCAAGGGAAGATCTTCAGAGAAAGAGAAGCGACCCTCACCAACAGGGATGAGATGTCCCTCTCTAAGTCACACTCCATTTTCCTCATGCTCTGCAAGTGGGCTCAACAGACATCACTGACCTCTCCCCAGGCAGCACAGGGGATGGGGGCAGCATGGCTCTGACAAAGGGGATATTAGTACTAGGTGGGGTGAGGTAGGGTACCACCAAAGGAAAGATGGACAGCTATCCCCAGCCATCCTTCCTCCCCCAAATGTCACCTGCTTCACAAGAATACCTTTTAAGGGCTGGGGATTTAGCTCAGTGGTGCTGCAGCCTGCCTCAAATGTGCAAGGTCCTGAGTTCAATCCCCAGTACCAACAAAACAAAACAAAAAATACCCCCACAAGAATACCTTTTAGATCTCTACGATGCAAAGAAAGAAGACCTCAAATGGTAAGAAGGCCATTTCCAGCCCACAGCCACATTGTGGCTTTAAAGGGGTGCTTGACAAGCAAGCAGCAGAGCCCCCCAGGGCCCCAGCTGGCATACCTTGGAGAGGATGAAGCGGTCGTTGTCTGGATTCTCTAGGTCTGATTGTTTGTATCTCATGAGGTAAAAGAACAGCACAGACATGATCTCGGCAGTACTGCTGCATGATGTGGGGGAGCTGAAAGGCAGACACAATCCAAGTCATTTCTCTGAGGTCAGTGACTCCCAAAGGACATGGTGCATGAGACCATCTTAAAGCACATGGTCTCCTGGATTCACAAGCAATGGTCATCATGTCTCCCAGCCTAGAAGAATCTAGCTGAGCAGGTGGGTTGCAGGGTGCGCTAACTCCACACCCTCCTGTCCCACACCAAGCCCCCTTTTCCACTGGGGACCCCATGTGCCCAATGTGAGTTTACCCCATGCAACTTGGGGTGGGTGCTTCCACCTGCTGAGAAAGCACCATGAGCATCACTAATCACATCCCATTCTACTACCTTTAATGAATTTCTTGCAGAAAGACAGAAATTTCTTATGGTTCAGTAATTGGGGCCTTTCCTGAATCCCAAAATAACTGCTGTTCTTCGAAAGTTTTTTTTTTTTTTGGTACTGGGGATCGAACTCGGGTCCTTGCGCTTGCGCAGCAGGTGGCGAAACCACTGAGCTAAATCCCCGGCCCTTTAGAAAGTTTTTAATTAAACAGAGCAGAGGGGATAGGACAGGGGACAAAAACTACTCCCAGAAAATATTTTCCCATTACATATCTCACAGAGGTTAACATCCAGAATATACAAGGAACTTAAAAAAAAACCCAAGTAATCCAATTAAAAATGGGCAAATGATCTCAGATACTTTTCAAAGAAATACAAATACACGGGATACATGTTCAGTATTAGCCACCAGGGAAATGCAAATCAAAGCAAGGGTTAGATGTAGCTCAGCAATACACTGCTTGCTTAGGTCCTGGGGTTGAGTCAAATACAATGATACCCTTCCCAAAAGAATTAAAAGCATCATGCCATAATGATACACTCACATCCATGTTTATAGCAGCACAATTCCTAATAGCTGAATCTTGGAAACAGCCCAAATGCCCATCAACCAACGAATGGTTAAAGACGTATTTTTTTTTTTTTGTACCGGGGATTGAACTCAGGTCCTTGCGTTTGCGCAGCAGGCGATGAAACCACTGAGCTAAATCCCCGGCCCAAAAGATGTGTTTTTTAATGTAATGGAGTACTACTCTGTCATAAAGAAGGATGAGCTTCAGACATGTCTAGATAAATGGATGCACCTTGAGATCATAATCGAGATAAATCAGAAACTCATGTTTAAATACCGCATTGTTTCTCTGGTGTAAGTAACCAAAAGTGGAAATAAGGACTAAAATGTATACTAGATATTGGGAAATGGGAAGAAAAAGTTCAAATGGGAATGGGAACAAGGAGGGGGAAAGGAAGAGAAAAAAGTGAAAATAGAAGGGAAAAAATGGAAGCAAAGCTTTTGTACAACAGGAGGAGGGGGGTTGAGGGAAGGAGAGGAATGGGAAAAAAAGAGGCAGGATATATCATGTACAGGTGTAAATTCCCTATAATGAGTGTTATCATCATGTATATCTAAAATGTACCAATAAATGTTTTTAATTAAAAAAATTTTTTTTAGGTACTGAGGATTGAACTCCGGACCTTGCGCTTGCAAGGCAGGCACTTGGATTTGAACTCAGGATCTTCCTGCCTCAGTCTCCACACCATGCCCAGCTCAGCTATCCCACTTCTATATATACTTTTAAAAAATGAAATTAGCATACCAAAGAGATGTCTACTGTTTCATTTATTGTGGCACTATTCACAATGGACAAGATGTGGAATCAGTGTAGGTGTCCATCAACAGATAAATGAAGAATATATATGCATGATAGAATATTATTTAGCCATAAAAAAATCTGGCTCAAGTTATTTTACAAAGCTGCGACGATAAAAGCAGTATGGTACTGGCACCAAAACATACATGTGGATCAATGGAACAGAATAGAGGGTGCAGAAACAGTCCCAGAAACATTCTGCCATCTCATTTTTGACAAAGGGGCCAAAAGCACACAGTGGAAGAAAGATTGCTTCTTTAATAAATGGTGCTGGGAAAACTGGCAATAAATCTAGACCCATATTTCTTACCATGTATTAAACTAAAATCAAACTGGATCAAAGATCTAAATGTTAGCCGGATGTGGTGGTGCATGCCTATAATCCAAGCACTCTGGAGGCTGAAGCAGGAGGATTGCAGTGAATTCAAAGCCAGCTTGGACTACACAGTGAAACTGTCTCCAAAAGGAAAAAAAAAATCTAAATGTTAAAACATTAGCACAATCTGCTGGAAGATAAAATAAGTAAAACTCTTGAAGAGAGACCTAGGCAAGGACTTTCTGAATAGAACCCCAACTGCAAAAGAAATAAAAGCAAGAATCAACAATTGAGATTGTATCAAACTAAAAAGCTTCAGGACAGCAAAGGAAACAACCATGAGTGAAGAGACAACCCACAGAATAGGAAAACAATTTTGACACCTACACCTCAGACAGAGGACTAATATTCAGAATACATAAATAACTAAAAAAACAAAAAACCAGACCCCCAAAATAAAAGACCCAATCAAAACATGGGCAACTGAAACGAACACTTTGCAGAAGCACAAAAGACCAATAAATACATGAAAAATGTTCAACATCTCTGGCTATTAAAGAAATGCAAATCAAAACACTGAAATTCCACCTTCCTCTAGAAAGACAGGCCATGATTTTAAGAACAATAGGCGTGGTAGCACAAGTTTGTAATCCCAAGACTGCAGAGGCTGAGGCAGGATGGCTGTGAGTTCAAAGCCAGCCTGGAGTATACAGGGAGACCCTGGTGGTGGTGGTGGGGCGTTGGCGCTGAGGCTCAGCGGGGGCGGGGCAGAGGCGCCGGGCAGCCATGTTGCAGAGCTCTGTAGCCGAGAGGCCCAGTTCATCCGACTCTCGCCGCCGACAGCAGCCACGACTGACTGCCCGGTGCTGCCGTGTAGCACCTCAGCCGCTGGGAGAGGCAGGCGGGCGAGGCCGCAGGAGCAGTAGCTTTCGGAGATTTTTTTTCTTTTGTACCAGGGATCGAACTCAGGACCTTGCCCCTGCGAGGCAGTTAGGGTGCCACTGAGCTAAATCCCCGGCCGGGGAAACAACTTTTTGAGCAGGTAGTAATAACAGAAGGTTTGGGGGCCGGGGATTTAGCTCAGTGGTTTCGCTGCCTGCTGCGCAAGCACAAGGACCCGAGTTCGATCCCCAGTACCAAAAAAAAAAAAAAAAGAACAGAAGGTTTCTGTGAAGTCTGATGGGGGGATATGCTGACAGCAAAAGTTACTCTACATGGCTTAAACTAAATACAAAGCTGACACAGCAAGATGTTAGAAAAGAGAAACCCTTACAGTTCAAGTTGAGAGCTCCTTTCCTAACGATATTTCTGAGGAGTTCAAGAAATAACACAAAAGCTTTTCTTCTTGCAAGTTAGAAAAGCCATCTTGAAAGATGAGATATATTGCCCACCAGAAACTGCAATTCTTTTGGCTTCCTATGCTGTGCAAACCAAGTTTGGAGACTCTAATAGAGATTCATAAACCAGGCTCCCTGGCTAATGACAGGCTACTGTACTACCCTACCACAGTGTGTTCACAAACTAACAAAAGAACAGTGGGAAGAAAGAACACAAAACTGGCACAAAGAACATACAGGAAGGCCGGGGATTTAGCTCAGTGGTTTCGCCGCCTGCTCCGCAAGCGCAAGGACCTGAGTTCAATCCCCCGTACCAAAAAAAAAAAAAAAATTGGTAACACTTTTTGGACCAGGGATTTAGCTCAGTGGTTTCACCGCCTGCTGCGTAAGCTCAAGCACCCGGGTTCGATCCCCAGTAACAACAACAACAACAAAAAGTCTCCAGGAATGCTAAGGGAAGATTCGATGGGATACTGCACAAGATCTAGAAATATATGGCATCAACTATTTTGAAATAAAAATAAAGGCACTGAACTGCAGCTAGGTATTGATGCTGTGGATCTGAACATTTATGAACATGATGACACGTTAACACCTAAGATTGGCTTTTTCTGGAGTGAAATCAGAAATGCTTAAAAAAAAACTTGTTTAAACAAAAAACAAACAAACAAAAACTTGTTATGAAGCCAACTGACAAAAAGGCACTAGGGGTCAGGGATTTAGCTCAGTGGTTCCACCGCCTGCCTCGAAAGTGCAAGGTCCTGAGTTCAATCCCCGGTACAAAAAAAAAATATGCTTCCAACAAGCTGAGGATTCCCGACCCAGCTACTTGGGAGGTTGAAAGGGAAGGACCAAGAGTTTAAACCCAGCTTAGTAATTTAGCGTCCCAGACACTAAATTTGTCACAAATTAAAAAAAAAAAAAAAAGGCCAGGCTGCAGTTCATGCAAAGGCCCTGGGTTCAACCCCCAGTACCACAAAAGCAAAAACAAAACCTAAAAAAATCTAGGGAATTTCTCAATACAGTGTTTGGAAATGGAAAACAAAACAAAACACTAAATCTTCCAGGACTGGGTGTAGCTCAGTGGTAAGGTACCTTCCTACCATGCACAAGGCCCTGGGTTCAATCTCTGGCACCATAAGCAAGCAAAGAAACTGCCCATATGTGCAGAGCCCTGGGTTAGGGTAAGGGTTGCATCTGCACTGCAAAACCCAAACAAGCAAACAAAACTGCCTAGGATGTTTGTGGCCCTGGATTCAATTTCTAGCACAGCAAATCCCATACAAATAAGCAAATAAACTTCGTGACCCGCCAAAGCGTGCCCAACTGCACACCCAGTGCTCACAAGGCTAGGGCAGGAGGATCGCCTGAGCCCACGAGTTCAGAGCCAGCCCACAACACAGTGAGACTTTGAGACAAAACCAACCACTACACATTAATCTCTCCCACGAGAATTAGTCCAAAAAAGCCACGATAAAATCCTAGCAAACCCAAGTGCCCATATTTGGGACTCCCCAACCGCCAAAGCCCCATATTCAGCCACACTGCCGGTCCCCGTTTCCTCGCTTTCATCCTCGTTCCCGTGCCCAGCACAACTTCACACACCGGAAGCCCCACGCCATGATGACCGACCGCAAATCACAGGCAGTGCAACCTGCCCTGCCACTCCCCTCTGCCCCGGGGCGGTGGCCACCAGCTTTCAGATTCTTCTCACCCCTCGCAGCGCATGGCCTCTAGAGGACACCGCTACATGTGGTCACCTGCACATGGCCGACTTCAATGGCACCTCGATGGAGCCTCTCAACCAAGCCTGCCCACCCGTCCGGCCCATCCATCCGTCCGTTCACCCTCCCAGACTGCCCAGCCTATCGGTTTGTCCGCCCGTCCCCCCTTCCCCCTTTCCCCCTTCCTGCCGTCCAGAAGTAAGCCTGAGGACCGACCAGACGCCCTATATGGCCTTTGACGAGGGCCCTTACACAGAGCTCACGGGGCACGTGGTCCTGATGGCGTGGATGCGCAGGCGGTTGGCTATGTCGCGCAGCACCTGCACGGTACTCTCGTCGGGCCTGGCCTCTGCAGGCATCTGAGCATTTGCCTCAGGTTCTAACACGAACGCGCTCATTTTGGCTTCTGCGGAGCAAATGCCGTGGGCGGGCTTGGCTGCGCTTTTGAGGGTCAGCGCACCGCCTCCCTGCGCTGGAAGATCCCTCCGCACAGACGCCCCCCCCCCCCCCCCCCCCGCCACGCGCCCCACGTTCACATGCATCTTCCCTCACGCGTCCAGGTCAATGGGTTTTGGATACTTGTCACCTGCAAACTCAACATTATGCACAATCATGCCACTTTTTTAATATCTTTTCTTGCACTTTCAGTCCCAAAGGGGCTCCCTCAGGGTGGGTATAGGGTCTCCTTTGGGGTGATAAGAAAGTTCTGGAACTAGAAGACTTAGTGCCTTGAAGCGGAATGATCCAATCAAATCGGCAGCACACACTGACTCCACAATTGGAGCCACCACGTGGATGCTGACTCTACTCCTTTTTAGAACCTTCTGTGAGGCGAGCCTGTTGTGCTGCAGAGGTAGCCTGAGTAGGACGCCGGCCTGTGACTTGAGCGGGGAGCCTGCCTTCAGCAAGGCCTTGTTTCGGTAGAATGTTGTCCCTTTCTGTCTGAAGTGCCACATCGTAGGGCATGCCTCTAGCTGACTTCACAATGTCAGTTTCAGCGATCTCCCCGTGACTGTGTACGGGTCTTCCCCGTGTGTCCCATTAAACCCACTCGCAGTCCAAGCCCTCACATCTTAGCTCGGAAGCGCCT